CACTGTGCCTTAATGGATTTGTTACTATAATATTACTACAATTGACTTCTAACTAAATTCTCAATTCTCTTTCCCATTCTCTACTCATATATGGGTATGCAAGCTCAAATCAACCAATAGCATAACATATTTACTGTACAATAAAAGATACTACTATTATCTCTGGATCATCACAGTCTTCATTGATCTTGAGATTATATACTCTAGCCGTAGAGCGTATTTCCTGTTGAGTAGAAGATTCTGTCTGATTTCTTCCTCTACTTCTACCCCGTCCTCTTTTAGATATCAAAACAGATTGTTCCGGCTGTACAGACTCTTTTGTTCCTAATTGAAAATCTCTCATGAAATGTCATGTTTCCCCACATCGGAAACAAGCTCCAGATTTAACTCTATATGTCCCACCATGATATCTTCCACAAATCTGACAATGTCTTTGTTGTGCTCTTTCATCACCAGACCTTACTGATTGAGTCTTCCAACTCTTATTTGATTTGATCCTCTAGCGGACGATGCCATCGATTTAGACCTTACTTAGGATCGAAATTCAGAATCTCTTCCTTTCTTGGGTGGTGCAGAACTTGATGAAGTCCCAATTCTTTTAGACGGTTGGGCTCTTTGCTCCCCAAATTATTCATTTTAAGCTATCTCTAGAGCTTTAGCACGATTGATCACCTCTTGAAATGAGGACATGTTTAACACGATTAACATTTCCTTAAGCTTTGGGCGCAAGCCCTCAATAAACCACTCACATGCATATTTTTCTGTAGGCAATATATCTGTTGCAAAGCGACTTAATTTATTGAACTCATACTCATACACGGTGCGATTCATTTGCTTCAGGTTCAGAAATTCTTGCTTCATTTGTTTGATAAATTGATCTCCTATGTACTTGTGCTTAAACTCATCAAGAAACAGAGACCATGTTACTTGATCACTGGTCATCCTCATAGTAACATTAGTTCACCAAATTCTTACTTTCCCACGAAGCAAGAAGACGACTCCGTCTAACTTCTCCACATCAGAACAGTGGAGTTCCTCTAACATGATCTTTACATTGTTGAGCCAAAGGTCCGCAGCAACAGGACCTTCCTCGACTTCACCTTTGAACTCTGGAGCTCCTAATCCCTTCAACTCCTTCGCAATATTCATTCTCGGAGTTAAAGTAGCAAGAGGTTGGAAATGCGCTAATACCGCGTCTAACGTCCTGAAGAACATATCTTGATTACTTACAGGCACTCCAGAAGGTGCATGTTCTTCACCTTGCCTGGCTAGGGTAAGTGAATTATTGCTCTCAGCTAATCTCTCATCTCCCGCTTCACTTCGGGAGCTATCTTGTCCGGACATCTAATAAGACATAACCAAATATCTCTATTAGCTAAACAACATACTCATTACTCTTATCAGATCAGAAGTTTTTACTACTATATTGGTAAGTACACTTTTTAAGACACTTTGGACTTCGGTTTATGCCGAGAATCGACTAAACCGTAGCTCTGATACCATTAAATATAACACCCCAACTCGTACCCGACTCGGATCATACGTAAATCTACATTTGTTTACATACCAACACCTTTAATACAACAAAATACCTACTGTGCAATTTATAACTTCTGATATGATCTCTTGAGAAGGTATGTTGTTCTGCCGGTCTCAAGTCTGGTCCTCGAGCTTCTTAGTACCTATGTGTAAAACACTTACACGTTAAGTCATAGACTTAGTGAGGCATAAACATATAATAAAGAATTTCTATAATCATAAACATATAATCTAGTATTTAATAATAATTGTGCATATTACCTTATAAATCCACACTGTCATATAGGAATCAATATAAACCACAATGACATATTAACATGCAAACCTGTACACACTCTCTACATCTTTTATAAGCCCATGCACTCTATTGAGAACTCAAGGTATACGAGTACTATGAGTGTAACATCCTCAATACCGGGTTAGTGATTGAAGTGTAAGATTTTTAAATTCAATGACCAAATTAAATAAATTAAAAAGTGAAGGAATTAATTAAAAGATGTTCGTGTAGGATGAATTAATAAGTGAATGAGAAGTAAAAGGGCAAAAGGGTCATTGAGCAAATAAAAGAATAAAATAATAATTAGTGGGTATTATAATACCCATGTGAATCATAATTGAGGAAATAAGTTTCCAGAGACTTATCTTATTCATCTTCTTCTTCTCCCAAGCGTGAAGCACCCAAGCCCAATGTAAGTTTGATTTCTTTTGATTAATCCTTCAAATTCAAGCATGGTTTTGATTAATGAAGCTTTAGGAAAGATGATGGATATGAAAAAGGTCATAAAAATCTCAAAGATTTGTAAGTTATGAAGGATTAAAGATAGGAAGTGGATAAGTGAAATTTTGAATAAGGATGTATAAATGGATTTAGAAGTTGAATTTAACTTGTCATAGGTGTGAATAAGAAGTTATAAGTGTTAAATCAAAGTTTGGATTACATGGAAAATTTAGTAAGATTCTTGGTTTTAAGAACTTGGATGAGATATGGGAGATAATAAGATGTTGAGATGATATAAGTTAATTAAAATGGTTGTAGATGAGTGTAGTAGCATAATAAGGATTTTATACATGAAAATTTAGGTGAAGTATTGATGAATTTCGGGTGAAAATAGTCTATATTAAGCCAAAAATGATTTGGTTAGTTTAAAGAAGACGGCCGAAAATTCTTATCATTGATTTATGAAAATTTCTTATTTTAATTTTATAATATCATTTATTTACAATTTGGTATTAAAATATACGAAAAAATGGAGTAACGTTTTCGGCAATTGTTAGCGACTTTGTCACAGTTTTCCTCGTATTTTACCAAAGTCATCATCATCTATCGACAAATTTACCAATCACTATAGAAACATCTCTATTTCCTTAATTATTTCAATGTCACTATCAAATCCTTAATTTATTTTTTCAGCATCCATTTCTCCTTAATTTTACCCCCCAAAAAATTATGTACCACGTTGAAAAAATAAATATAATTTAGGTGGTGATTTTTCAATTGAACTTTTATATTATCATAGTCACAAATTGAACTAGTGTTACTGGTAGTGTTTTTATTTTTTTAATTTTAAATAAAATAATTATAAATTATTCATCTAAAGATTAAATTCATGTTAAATAAAGTTATATATAAATATTTTATACTTCACTAATAATTACAATATATATATATATATATATTGATATTAAACCCATAATTATGATATGGTGGTAGACACTAAAAAGAACTCTATTATAAAGAATATATATTTATTTAGCCCATATGTTTAAAATTGTGCAACTTAATTGTGATTTTTATATTTGTTCTCTAAATTTATATCGCGAGTCAATTATATGACAAGTTTATATAATTAAATATAATAATTTATAATTGAATAATTAAATTAATTGATTATAATAATTAAATCATTATAATATTAAATCAACGTTATAATGTTGATTTAATATTATAATGATTTAATTATAATATTAATATAATAATGTTGATTTAATATTATAATGATTTATTATAATTAAATCAATTATAATATCAATCAACACTATTATATTAATAATATCCATTTTAAAATTACTTATGTAAATAGTAAATAGAAGTGTTTATTTTCGAATATCAGATATTATTTGACCTGAAATTTCAGATATCGAAAAGTTCAAATCACTAAAATTGTGATCAGTATTTGATAATAAAAAAATGAATGTATGATTTTTCAGATATTCAGAATTTTATATTAAATATCTAGATATTTGAATCCGAACATAAACTTAATTTGATAAAGAATTTAAATTTAAATTTTATATTTACCGACTGTATGCAAGATATAATAGATATTCTATACAAAATATAGATATAGGATTAGAGGTTTAGTGGGCTACTCACTTATGGAGTTGAAGGCGCTTAAATTCTAAAAGCATTATTAGAGTTTTGGATAATCTAAAATTAGAATTTAGACGAGATGTATCTAATTTAATTATCCAATTTTTATATTTAATTCAAAAATATATATCCAAAAACGAATCAAATATTTAAATTTTCAAATCATATCAATGAATCATTTAATCAAATGGGTCGAAACAAATTTTTTACACTTCCCTAATAATAATGGTAAAGTTAGTTTTTCAACAAACCACATGACGTATCTCTATAAAAAAAGTATTAATTTCTTAAATATTTTTTCAGATATTATTTGCAAAAATAAATTCAAAAACTAAAATTAACTTAATTACAAAATAATTAATAAATTAATTTTTTTAATAATCTGAAACAATTACAAAGATAATATCTATTTAGAACATTTCTTAGTAATTGACAACATACACTTTATAGATATAACTATTTAAATCTACGACAAAATTAATTTTAAATGATATAATATTTTTATCTTGGTTTTTTCATAGATTCTTATAATCTTAGGTAAAATACACAAATGGTATACCAGCTATGAGATGTTACGTTGTTGAGTTCCTTAATTATTAAAAATTATAAAATGATATCTCAACTATTAAAAGTTATAAAATAGTCACTCGACTATTTACATGTTTGAAACTCATCATTTTTCGTCAAAAAGTTGGCGGAAGCTAAGTTGTAAGTTAATATGTTGACTGAGATATGATAAAATATAATCCTAGAATCTTAAACGACTATCACATCTTAGTCAACACGTTAACGTTCAGCTCAGACGATCATCGATTTTTTAACGGAAAAGGATGAGTTTGGAACATATGAATAGTCATGTAATTATTTTATAACGTCTAATAGTCGAGAGACTCGACAAAGCAATGTCCTATAATTGAAGGATCATTTTGTAACTTTTAATAGTTGGGGACTCAATAAACAGCACACTATAGTCGGGGGACCATTCATGTACTTTATCCTATAACTTTTTGGCGGCCTAATGACGTGGAGGCCGGAAGTGTCTACTCCACTGACTCCGACGAAATAGATCCTTTTGACATCCCACGCAGGAATGTTGCCAGCGTTCGCCTTCGCCTCTGGACGGTAATCCCCCAATATCTCACTTGTGGAATTATCTTTGATTTTAGGGGTTCCTAAATATGAATCAAGAGGGACAGTGAACTGTTTTTTTTCTTCACTTGTTCCGTTTCATTTCAGAAATTTTAATTTTGTTCGTCCTGTTGATTTTTCTATTTGCTGTCTGTTTTGTTTTTTTGTTGGCTTATTAAAAGGCAAAAGAAAATGGTATATTAAACATTAGGGTAAAGTATAGTAATGGTCACTGAACATTTCTGAAACTTGCATTTAGGTCCCCCAACATTTAAAACTTGCAATACAGTCCCCCAACATTTATTCCGTTTGCAATATGGTCCTCAACTTAAACCACAGTTAGAAAATTAGGATAAATTATATAAACGGTCATTGAACTTTTCAGTCACTTGAATTTAGGTCCCCCAACTTTTAAAACTTGCAAAACAATCATCAATTTCATTCTAAACCCCAATTTCCAAAGTAATTCAATTTTATTCTAAACCCTAAATTCCAAAATACTTAAATTAAATTCAATTATGTCAAAGTTATTATTATTTAATTTCATCTTATTTCATGTGATACGTATTTTTTATATAAATATAATAGTATAATTCTTATCTGTTGAAGACATTTTTAATTAAAAAAAGTAGTTAGGATATAAAAGAGGTTGAAAATAATTCGAATTTTAAATTTATAAAATGTTATTTTGACGTATAAATAAAAGTGTAAACTACTCGGTTGACAACTTAACTATCTAGCCCTTTTTACTTTTGTCATCGATCTTTTAAATTTATCAATCATACCACATAATTATTTAACTGTTTCAACTAAGCCACTAGTCGTTACCAATTGATAAAAATGATGATGTGGCAGTTAAAAGGAATTGACATTATTATACATTCAGTCTTTATTATTTATATAATCAATTTGGTCCTAAATTAAATAAAATTTAATAAATTAATCATTTAATTAGGATCTGACATGTGTTAGCACATGATCATGACACGTGTCATTGGTGACACGTGTTACCACCTAATTATTTATATATGCTATCAATTTGGTCCTAAATTAAATAAAATTTAATAAATTAATCATTTAATCAGGATATGACATGTGTTAACACATGATCATGATATGTGTTATTGGTGACACATGTCACCTCCTAATTAGAAGAAAATTAAGTTACAAAGAAGTAAAATTTGGGTCTTGGGCAAACTCAAACCTGAGTCACGCAAATGAAAGATATAGGGTGGAGCCACTAAGCTAACACCATCGTTTGTGTTAAGAGATATACAATAATACATATACTAATAGTATGACCAATGCCAGAAAAAAAAAGAATATAATGTAAAATGGAAATAATGAGATTTGAACTTCGGCAAAAAATTTGAAAGCAATAAATGATGGGAAAATATTATATTTTTTACAATAAAAAATATTATATTTGATAAATTGTTTGATAGATTTAATATATTTTTTAAATATTAGTTGATACAATATTTTAAAAGAATAAATTTAAGATTTATATATTTTTAAACTAAATTTAATAATTATATTTTTCATATTTATAATTCATGATTATATATATAATCTTAAGTTGAGTATTTCTAATATAATTAATAATTTTAATTTCTTATTAAAAATAAAATATTCAAAAAATATAAATGATTCATACATTAATATATGAATATATTTTTTATTTATACATCTAAATATAAATATACATTTATATAAATATATTTTTATTCGTTGTGTCTGTGCCTTGAACTCTTTCTTCAAGCCTATATTACCTTAAATTGAAGTATTTTAGAATTTAATTGAAGTATTTTAGAATTTAGGGTTTAGAATAAAATTGAATTACTTTGGAAATTGGGGTTTAGAATGAAATTGATGACTGTTTTGCAAGTTTTAAAAGTTGGGGGACCGAAATTCAAGTGACTTAAAAGTTCAATGACCGTCTATATAATTTATCCTAATTTTCTAACTGTGGTTTAAGTTGGGTTCAGAAATGTTCAGTGACCATTACTATACTTTACCCTAAACATTATGATTGATTAAAATGTATCACCAACTTTAAACATTCGAAATGACTCAAACCAAAATCACCCTCTCTCTTTTTTCACTCTGAAGTAATGCTCCTATCCCAAAATTTTGTTCTCTGCTCTATTATGTTATGTTTGGGCTTCTCCTCTGTTTTTATTTTACTACTCTGAAGGTGATAATTCTCATAGGTACTGAAACTCAACAGTATTTGATTTCCTGTTTATCTTTTGTAGCAAGCTGCACTAGTGCTTAATGCATCTCGTAGGTTTAGATACACCTTAGACTTGAAAAAGGAAGAAGCGACGAGGCAGACTCAAAGGCGGATTAGAAGCCACGAGCAATGCATACGAGTGTGCTATACTGCTATCCTTGATTTTGGGTTTTCTCTCATTGGATTGAAGTTACATCTTTTTCCTCTTAACCTTCTGTTTTGCTATGCTAGGCTGCCTGGCTTTTCCACCATGCTGGGGTACGAGTATGCAGAAGGTTGGTCTTTAAGTTTACCTTGCTTTTTCCTCTTAAACTTTTGTTTTTGGCTATGCTAGGCTGCCGATCTTTTCCAACAAGTACTAAGACGGCCGGTCTTTAAGTTTACATTCAGAAGGAAAAAAAAAGGGTAATTTATCCTACTTATCCTATCCTTGGATTTGTGGAATAATGTTTAAGGATAATGCTTATATTTTACAACTTCGGTTTGATGTTTGGCCTTTTCTTTTTAACTTGGTTATACGGTGTTTGAGAGTCATTAGACAGATGCAGCATGTATTGATAAACTGAAATGATTATATGGTTGCAAATTTCACATCTTACAAAACTGCTCTATGGGTATTATATCTTTTAATGAATGTTTATGTGAAACAATCTTTTGGAGGAAACATTACTAACTGGTTATTATCATGCTACTTATCAGACCTTTCTTTACCCCTTACCCTTTCAATAAACGTCTCAACATTTGTTCAATACAAATGTACCAAGTCATTGATTACGTTGGTCTTTTTTTATCAAGTTGATTTTTTAGTAGTTGTACAATTAAATTCATACAGTTCACTGTTAGGTCTTTTGTCTTTTTTTTTTTTTTTTTTTTGCATGTATCCTGTCTCAGAAATTTGGTAAAGTGTTGAATCATATGTTCCATTCAATGGTTTCTTGTGCTGCAACTGCTTATAAAAGCTCAAGATTTCTTGTGCTACTTCCCAGCGCAGATTTTCCTATTGTACCAGAGCATCTAGCTTTGGTGACTAGAGAACACAATTTTGAAGCTCTGCAGGAATATGGAGGGGCAAATTCTTGAAAATAAAACTTGTTGCTATTATATTTTGGTGTTATTTTTTTCCAGATGACTGTGGTTGAAGCTTATGTCGGTGGAAGAAAAATTGATCCTCCAGACAGCAGTTCAGAGTTACCCGGTACAGTAACTTCATTGCTTACCGAGGACATTGCTGTGAATGCGAATGGAAGTGTCTTCACTCCAGAGGTATGTCTCAGTAACTTGCATTTTTCCTGAATTATGTTTATTAAGTTGTCTTTATTAAGTATCTTCTGTTTTCATTTTATTTTGTTTCATTAGGGAGGTGGAGATGTAGAGGTCTCTGGATCGCCAACAGAAAAAGCAATTCTTAATTGGGGAATGAAGGTTACATATCCAACTTTGTGTTATCTTCTTGTCCTTGCTTGTTTCTAATTGTACTAATCTTTATTCTTCGAATTTTAGTTTATGTTTTAACCCATTTGACTTCATTCCTTCACGTAGTCTGCTATCGAGATTTACTTCCAATTACAGATGCGCATATGAAGACTGCATATGAAGACTGTTCAACCATGTATTTATTTATACATGCATTGCAGTTTATCTTTATTTAAATTTTTTTGACTGCCGGAGGTCTTCCACGGAAGCTGCTCTCAACATGGCGTTGGGGGCAACCTACTACACTACCTCCCCCTTCCCATAGCATATGGGAATAGGATTTTGTTGTTGTTGTTGTTTATTCTTCGAATTTTGTAGCTTGGTATGGATTTTGATGTTGTTAGGTGTAGCTCGTCTATTCTACATGTATTCCCCTTCAACACAAAGAAAAAAAGAGGCGGTGTTGCAATAAGATTGGTAGTGTTACTATATTGTTAGCTTTAATGGGCAATTTTATTATTGTTGTCTGTATTTTGAATGTTGACTCCTTTTTGTGTTTGATTTTCAAGTAAGGATAAAATTAGAAATTCAATGATACGTGACCCTTCTTTTGGATGGATATTTGTTATCTTCCTTTAATATCTATTTGTACTCTTTTCTTTTGAGTTTTAATATGTGCATGCATATAGATTCAATTGGAGTTCCATTCAGATTGTTTATGTTGCTAGTTTTTATTTTTATTTGATTTATTCTTGTTTATTTATCTGGGTGGGAGGGGGTGGAGTTTCTGAAGCTCGGTTAGTGTGGTTTCAGTCGAGTTTATGGTAATTGTTTGAGAAGTCTCTGGGTAACTGGTGTCACAGCCCAATTTTTTAAAAGAAAATTAGAAATTTAATAAATGAATTAATTTGGTTAAAATTTGGGGACCAAAATATAGGATTTCAGAATTTATAGGCTTTTTAAGAAGTTGCAGGAAAATCCAGGGACGTTAACCCGAATTTACCCAATTTTGTTATCCAATGAAAAATAAACCCCTATCAGCAACCCAAATTAAAAGAACCAAAATTAAAATCTCTAATCCCTAATTCTCTTTCCCGCCAACCCTTTTTTGAAGCCACATTTCGTCGCCATCCAGCCATCCCAGCTTGAGCCATCGCCACCATTAGGCTCACTTCGAACGGTGTATCTTCGTCGTTTCTGGTCACGTCCGACGTTGTTTCGCCTCACCGCCGTCTCCACTGCACTCATCGGTGTCGTTCACTCAAACCCGACCAGTTTTGTTCAGCGTTGACTCACCGTCGCCGATCGCCGGCGTGGGTAAGTTACCAAATCGGTTTTTGGTAATTTGGTATGATTTAAGTGATATTGGATTAGATTTAGATGTATTTGAGGCCATGATAGTGTCGGGAGTGATCGGCCGGTGAAAATGGCCCCAGTCGTCGCCGCACACGCTGCCACGTGCCGGTAATGCGCGTTGGGGTCTTCGTCCGGTCTAGGAAATTTCTGGAACCGATTCGGGCAGAATCGACCCGCCTGCCCGACCCGTTGACTTTGGTCATAGTTTACCGTTGACTTTGACCGGTATAACCGTTGACTTTGATCGAAAAAGTTAAAATTTTCAAAAAGCTTTATTTTATGTTTTTAATGTCTTGAGCTTTGAAGTTCGTTTTGTCAAATTCAAACCCGAAAGCCTCCGAATTGACCCATAAACCCAAAAACTGCATATTTATTTAAGTGATTATATTCAATTAATTTAATCAAAGGGTCAAAGACTAATTATTGTTATCGTATATTTAAGGTACTCGGGGATATCCAGACCGTTCGACTACTCGACCCGGTTCCTCCCGATCCGCTCGTCCGCAAGAGGCTGTGAATACCCGTATAGTTCTACAACCCTGTTAGATATTCTATTTATAATATTAATCCGTATATGACCCTGTTCTGATATGGCTTAGGTTCCAATTTAGTCGAAGAGCCTAGTGAAGCCAGTGCTTGTTAGATCTTCCAGACTGATCCATTTTTGCGAGGTGTGTTCCTTGTGTGCAAAATAAATGTCTTAAATATCTGTTTGAAATCTCATGTGCACATGATTGTTTTCTCTGATTTGAAATATAATGTTTGATCTGATTTGACTATTGTATAATTTACACGATTTGAAGCCTGATTCTTGATTTACTGAGATTTAAAACATGATTGCTTGACTTATGATCTATGGTTATTGTTTTACTGAATTGATTATCTGTCTGAACTCTGATTTCCTGCTATCACTGGTTACTGTCTGAAAAATGTTTTCTTCAGGGTACTCTGGGATCTGGTATAAAGACTCTGGCAGGTTCAATCGCTACTGGTAATTCCTTGTATAGGTTCAGCACTGACTGGTAATTCCTTATGAACTTAGGACGACTCTTGGGTGAGCTTCTGGGCCTAGTTGTAAGACCTTATGGACCCTAAGGTACTCCCTTAAGGTGACTCCTCTACTGTGTGCATTGGGTAAGTCCTTATAGGCCTGAGGGCACTCCCCTTAGGTGGGCACCTACGTTTCGGCTAGGGTAAGACCTTATGGACCCAAGGTGCTCCCTTAGGTTGGCACCTACGCCCTTCGGACCTAGGGTAAGTCCTTATGGATGCACTTCTGGGGAACTGCATATAGTGTTCGGTTGGAGGGCAATAATGATGTTTTCACGATTTGAAACTAAATTGATTTTGGGAACTTTACCGATGTTTCATGATTTTATTGATGAACTGATTTTGAAATCTAAAATATATGTTTTATTTCTACACGGTTGGAACACACTAAGCCCCTAGCTCACTTTTCAAACTGTTTTACCCTTTTAGATATACTTGGATTGGCACTCCGTATCAGACACTTGGAGGATCGACACATTTAGTACAAATCCTTTTGTTGTAATGTTTCTATCTTCCAAACTGCTTTAAATTACAGTGACATGTGCCTTTATTTTGAACTATTTATCTTTTTATAATGTTTACTGCTTTTGCTACTAGTATTCAATTTATTGTGCTTCAGATTTATTAAATGTTTTATTTTACTTAGTCGTTTTTAGTTTTATATTTATGAGTTGGGTTTTTATGGTTATTTATTATACTTATATAATTGTTATTTGTAAAATGATTTTAAGAATCTTTAATGTAATCCGTTAGACTTAGTCGAAATTATAAGCTGGGTCTAGGGGGTTACAACTGGTGACCGTCAGGTGGCTTTTCTATCAGAAGTCGGTACAAACCATTCTGGTTTAGTACTGGACCAATCGATAGTGAATTGAAACATTACTAGTGTTAATGATAAAGACAGTTATAGGAAGGTTGGTGGCAACAGCTGCTGAAAAAAATAATTCATTTCTTATCTCGAAGGGTTATTTTATTTTATTTCAAAAAAGACTTAGGACTTCAGATTAAATTTGTTAAGAAAAATAATGCTGGATAGATATTCTTTCTAGATCTTTTCACCTTGTATATCAATATATCATATTAGTTAGAACAACATCAATTGTGTAAATGTAGAAAACACATTACAGGCTGTAACTGTATCTAAAAGTGTATTGGATCGGAAGATAATGGAGAATGCTTTAAGAAATAATTATTGATAACTCCGTAAAAAGGTCATATTTGAGACCTTTTCACTTAAGTTATTGATTGTCTAAAAGCCCATTTAGGATCATATAGATGCATTTAGGAGCATATAGTTGCATGTGGTAAAAAAATTTTTGTCGCGACATTTTATTTTGTAATCAGTGTTGCATTATGGGGAAGGTGTTTTGTTTAATGATGTGTAGGATTTGGGAACAAGGAAAAGCAAAAGGGAAATTCCATGAAATAAGGAGACTACTGAGCAAAATGCGATTGTCGCGACATCTCGGACGGCATTTCTGGGAAGAGAAAGTCAAAGAATATATTTTTAGTAAGAGCCATCTGTCATGGCATAAAAAGTGCTTTCTCCAATCAGCATTAAAAGAGGGGCCAGATACCATCTTTGCACCAACTCTTGCATAAAAGGAATGAACTTTAGGGTGCAAGGGTAATTTTAACACAAAACCCTAGGTTCATTCTCCCCTATAAATAGAAGAAGAAGCCTGACTTTTTAAGGAGATTTGGAGATTTTTAGACAGCCACCAAGAGCCTAAAAATTCTGAGAAAAAGTTCTCTTTTTCTCGTCAATCGTTTTTGTCGTGGCATTCCTCCATTGATAGGCTATAGGGAATAGCGAACTAGGCGTCCGAGATGAGCTAGATCACTGGGATTGTTTGTGGTGGCCGAGGGAAGCTCCGACAGTGCACGTCGAAGGCTTTTCCTCCTTCCCTTTGCTCTTTGCTTTCGTTATTTATTATTTGGGTTGTAAGGAACGAATTAACTTGCTTTGTGCTTGCTTATTTCGAACCCCATCATGAACTAATCCTATTTGGTGGGAGTTTATTTTGGATATTTAAGATTTGCTTTAATAAATGATTGTTTTTCTATGTTATAATCTGTTTTGCTTATGAATTTTAATGCCTTAAGGTTGTAGGAACTATGAGAGTAACCATTCCTTAGGTGATTACTTAGTGTTCGAGAGAATGCCTAAGTAGCATATCCTTAGTATTCGAGAGAAACTAGGGAGGAACCACATAAGCAAGGGGTTCTAGATAGTAACTAGGCCTAATCTACCTTAGAGATAAGGCTAGGATTTCATTCGATTAAAAGGAGTTGTGCATGAGCGATAGGTTAGATGTTAATGCTACCGCAAAAAGGTATTGCCGAGACATATCCTGTTATCTGGACCAATATGATCCCTGCAGTAGCTAACGCCAATCGGTTTTGCCAAGGCATCTTCAATCTGTCGAGTCCCTTAACTAGAGATAGCATAGGGAACCCTTAGTAAACTCTGTCGGGCAGTTAAGGCATAGAAGTAAAACCATTATGAGAAGTGGACTTAGATTTTCCTAGGTAACTCCCATCACTCATTCCCATAGTAGCTTGTCGTGTGAGGAGTCTAAAGTTCTTATAAGCAAATCCAATATTTACAGTTTATTTTGCCTTTATATTTTTATTTGATCGCACTACACACAATCCATTTTGCCACAACATATTCATCTGCTACCGCATTGCCATCGTTCCATTTCCATATCATCCATTCATTTTGCCACAACATTATCATTTGTATATATACCATCTCTAACTTTACTTAGGTGACAGAGTAAAGTCCTGTGACAAACTTATTTGATTTCCCCCAATCCCTATGGAGAACGATACTCACTCATCACTTTATTACTTGTTCGATTGTGTATACTTGCACACATATCCGCACCATTTATAGTACTCACAAACAGCGGACAATTTTTTGGCGCCGTTGCCAGGGATTGGCATCTGGAAGTTAAATTATTTTGTCATAGCATTATTATTTTACTTGTTTATTTATTTATTTAATTTTTTTAAATAGTTTTACTTTTTATTTTCCTTATCTTTTTCAGGTTTTTATGCGGTGT